GTATTAGAAAAAGACAAGCCTAACAAGGCTGGTATTAGGCCGGACACATCAACCCCTTGTTCCACATGAATTGGGCTCTTCTTGGACCCGAACTAAATGAATTAAAGGCAGCCCATTCAATGCTTCTTTAAGCTTCTTAGCCCTAACTCTTGTGATTGGCCCAATTGGCACCTCCAATGGGTTGTTGGCATGATTACGCTTGGTGTTAGGCTGATCCACATCATCCCCTCTCTCTTCAAAAGGATTCGACCTCAAATCATCACCTACATCAAACAGAGTAAGATCAGGAACATTAAAGGTAGCACTAACACTATACTCACCTGATAAATCAACTTTATAAGCGTTGCCATTGATCCTCTCAAGGATCTCAAATGGCCCATCTTCTCGTGGTTGTAGCTTTGACTTCCTCTGGTTCGGAAATCTCTCCTTGCTTATGTCATTTGCTTTTTTAAAAAATTAACCAAGCATGCAGAACTAACTTACTAAATCTAGTAATACTTGATTTTTTAATTGATATTTTTTTAATATGTATTTTTTAAAATAACTTCTTTAATTTATATCTAAATTAATATTCATTCTCTTAGATTTTTTAGATAGTTTATTTATCTTTTTTAAACAGTGATTGTTATTTATTTATTTTATATATGTTTAATATTTTAAAGAGATTATTCTAATTTATTTATAATTTATTTATGTTTTATATAAATAAAAAATATTCTTAAAAATACAAATAATTTATTTTTGATAAGAAACAATGACCTTTAAGATAAAAAAAATTATTTACATAAAAAGAGAGAATTTGAGTTAAATATCATACTTACATATCTTTTACTTTTACAAGATTATCCTTTTATTTTAGAATTGCATTGCTATTTGCAACTTTTTCTCATATTATCATAGTTAATATATTTTAAGATTTATTTTATTTTGTGTGAATAACATTTTTAAATTTCTAAATTTAAAGAATCATGATACAATTAAATGTACTTGCAGCTTTATATCATTTTTCTACCATGTTAAAAAATAATTTTTTATATATCTAATTATCATTTTATTTTATTATATATAAATATTGATTTTTTAACTCATAATTATATTTTTATTTAATGTTGAAAAACATGTTAATAATTCATACACATCCATTTTTTTGCTTTAGAAAAAAACTATCCGACCCTAGTAAGATAAGTTGAATAAATATTTAATACTTTTTATTTTTATTTTTGAAATACATAATTTTTAATTTATTTAATTAAATATATGTATAAATCTTTTGATTTATTGTTAGGATTTTTTGTAAAAAAAAAAACATATTAAAAAAATCTGCATATCTTTTTTCCTAAAAAAATTCATTTGACCAGCAGGAAAAAAAAAGGTTAAATAACCATTAATTATCAAAATAATAAGCATGTGTGATTTATAGTTGTAAAAGCTAGCTCGACCGGGCATATTGATTCGGAGAATCTGCAATTCCAAACCCAATTTGGGTAGGATTTCAATTTTTTTTTTTAAATATTAATCCGGTTAATGAAATCAGGTTTTCAACGTCACGAAGGTAAGAGAGGCTAAGAAATGAGATGATTAGTAAATCATCAATCCTAATCTGCCCCATCTTTTAATATTTTTTTATTTAAAAATATAATAAAATAATATTTTTAAAAAATTATTTTTAACATTAATATATCAAAGCATATCAAATATATAAAAAAATAATTTAAAATAATTTTTTAAATTTTTTTTAAATATCTTTTAAACGGAAAAAGATAAGGTAAGTGAAGGCACCGAATGGTTCAAGCTTACCACATTAATTAGTGCAATTCGCTTGAAGATCGCAGCCATTACATAAATCTGCTTGCCTGGGTTCCTGTAATGATCCTTAACAGCAGATAGTCGTATTGCAAACAAATCCTACGAGAAATTTATATATGTAGTGCGTGACAGCAGGCTAAGGGCAGATACATTTTAATGCTAGAATAAATAAACAGGAGGCCACTCGGGCCCCAATTATGCGAGCTAGGCCAGTGCTTAGAGTCTTGGACTTTGTAGGTGAAAAATGTGCTGTATCATTGAACCATCCGTCTTTTTCCTCCACTCATTGTGGCATACTCTTGAGGGGAGCCAATTAGTAAAGAATGTCTGCTTCAATATCCCCACCACACCCACAAATCAGACCCTCGTAAGTGAAGTTCATAAGAAGAACCTCAAAGAAATGATGGAGCTTCAAGGGCATTCCAATTTGAGGCAAACAATGAAAAACGTTTTATACCGTCCTCTTCTTGCTGTGCTACATCTCTACCCCTCCATTGCCACATATCCTTCGGGGAACTTGTTTAATGAAGAAAGTGAAGCAACCCACTTCACTACAAAGGTAACAAGAGCTCTACATCGGCAAAATTGATGACCCACTGGCTACACCTGTTAAAATCTATGGCCTGGCACAATGCAGGGGTGATGGTCGAAACGAATTGAGCTACTATGCCTTCGTGCAGCAAAGACCGCTCAGGATGCCTCCAAGATGCCGGAAAGCAAGTCCACCGATTTTGTCCAAACCATACGGACGCAAGGATTTGGTATGACTGCTGCCTTTTAAGGTATAACAAAAGGGAATTTCATTGGAAAAGTCGACTAAGGTTTTGGTATCCATTAACTTTACTGTTGAGAGTGTAACGGATCCTGAAGATTTTAACAGAAAACTTGGAGCTTTGATGAATAAGATCGGATCAGAAGCAGTTCTGGCAGAGAATGAAGGGCTTGGAAAAGGAAAGAGCGAGTTGTCAACTTTCGTGACACTTGTGCTCTGGTACAATGCACAAGGGACTTGGCCCCAGTGGATTGTGCTCTCTGCTCTCTGCTTAGCTTTTGCGGTCAATAATTTTCCAAACTCCTGCAGCAATGGGAACTGCTGCAGGGTCATATACAGCAATGGGAACTTCTGCTTTTTTTTCAACTTAAATTGCTGTAAAAACTTGGGTTTAAAGAAATCTATAATTTTAAAATTTTTAAAAACCTGTTTTTTCAAACCGTAACTAAAAAATTAGTATCAGACACATACTAAAGCCGATCCGGTCTGTTACGTCAACAAATAATACATTAAAGTATGTGTAGAACAACCAGCTGATTGATTCGAGGATTATTAACTAATTACTACTAGATATTTTGATTTTATTACCACGTTTAATTACAAATTTTTTTCATTGCCACGCTAAATTGAATTTCCCCTACAATGCCATGGCTTATTGATTTATCTTAGGGATTTTTTTAGCTACAGCGCTTCTAATTTTAACAGATTTATCCATGAATACCAACTTCTTTGTGTAACTTGGTTGACCTGCAGCATGAGATTGATGAGACCTGCTTTTTGCAGGTCTCCGCGGAGAATTATCTTCTACGAAATAGGTAGCATTGCCCGTCCTGTTGTCATGTACTGAAGGAAAAATGGTGTAAAATTAGTCCTTCAGAAAAGAAGAAAAGATGGCTAAATGATCCAAAATTATCCACGATTTTGAATCAAAATTAATCGAACTATTTTTATTTGGATGAAAATAAGCACTTTCCAAAACTGCCTCCTCCTGGTAGCTCTTTGGTAAACGCCAACAAAAAGACTACGGCCTGGAACCACGTAGGCGTGACATACGTGAGCAGCGGAGCCTGCTCGACTTGCCTTAGAAATATTGCAGCAAAGCACCTTCCAAACCAAGCTGATGCAACGAATTACTGCTACCACGATTGCTTTTTGAGGTATAGCAAGGAGGATTTCTTTGGAAAAGAGACACATCTATGGATATTTATTAACTGATTTTAGATAACGTTTCGAACCCTCAAGATTTCAATAGAAAACAAAGAGCCCAATTCGATGCATAATTATCAAACCGAGACTGGTCTGACTAGTCAATTTGTTGATCCCAAGTCTGTTTTAGGCTGAGTTTGCTTTTAATCTGTTTATAAAAGTGATATGTTCAAATAATAGTAACCTTACGAGTCAACTCGTGATCTATTTAATTTGTCTAAACTTAAGTGAGATGCAAGAATAGTGAGATGCAAGATTTTTTTTTTAATTTTTGTTAAAACAACATGGTTTTATTTTTCTTTTAACTTTCTTGTCCACGACGACAACAATTTTTTATAAACTTAGGTCGACATGGTTAATTGGGAGTTAATTTGGCTAACCCCGTAACTCGAATGTTAAATCATGTCTAATAACCACGATGAGGTTGCATGTCAAGCTGTGTGCTGCAAAGAATAAAGGGCTTGGTAAAGAGAAATTTAAATTGTAGACACTTCATGCCACGGCACAATGCACAAGGGACTTGGCTCTGATAGATTGTGCAGAAATCGGCTTCAATGAAGGAATATGATGAATGAAAGCAGGCAGGACTTCATCTTTAAACTACGTTCTGATTGAACTTTTAGTATGTTGAAGATGCGATCGTTTTGTAGCATGATTAGATACTTGATTTGTGTGTTATATGTGTATTATCATCTATCTCAAATCTTGATTTGCTTAGTGTTTTACCTTGATACATGATCGTCTATGTAATTCTCCTAGCTGTATATATATTAAGGTTACAATGATTTCTCATTCGTGTTATATCATCTCAATCTACAAATCTTAACCGAGTTTTATATTATTCTTTAACATCATCAGCTAGAACAAGGCACACTTTAGGTATTTGATTGGTGGAATATGACTTAGAATCACAATCACAAGATGGTTGAAGGCATTATTGAGGTCTTATTTCACTGGATTCACCTAATCTGATTGTCAGCAAATGCTAAAACACTTTTTCATTGCTTAACTTGTGGCAAGAAACATCACTTGTTAAGTGCACTCAGCTTGTAACAGCACTATCACTAGATCTGGAATGCAAATTAAGCATTGATAGGATAATTGCAATGAAGCCACCTGAGAATTTAACATGAAAAAATATCATGTTACCTCCACTTTCAACTACTAACAAAACAAACCAGTTGTTCATAAGTGCTTGCAGTGAGATCCCTTCATAAACTACCACCACCCACAATTCATGATAATATAAGGGGCCCCGAGTAATGGTGATTCAAGCAAATTGCTAGTAAACCATGAATTTATTGTCCATCCTTCTCCTCCTATTATTGCTATGCACTTGCAGTGCAGATCGTGCGGGAGAGTTCTGCAATGCAGACAGCGAAATAAAGGGCAACAGCCAGATATTTGCAAATACTGACTGGTTATTGCCTGCGTTGGTTTTCAGGACTGCCTTGACTGGTTTTGCTCCTGTCACATATGGCAAAGGACAAGACAAAGTCTATGGTTTAGCACAATGCAGAGGAGATGTGAGCAGCAAAGACTGCTTCAGCTGTATACAAGATGCAGCAAAGCAAATCCGTGAAGTTTGTCCAGACCAGGCGGATGCCTGGATTTGGTTCGATTACTGCTTTTTATTGTATGACAACATCAATTTCATTGGAAAAGTTGATACAGATTTTAGCATAGTCTACTTTAATGTTGAAGAAGCAACAGAATTTGAAGACTTTCATGATGAGCTAGCAGCTCTGACGGATCAGATATGAGCTGAAGCTGTTTTTCCTGGGAATAGAGGGCTGGGTAAAGGTGAAAAGAAACTATCTAGATTTACGAAACTTTATGCTCAGGTTCAGTGCATTAGGGACCTATCTCGGATAGACTGTGCAGTGTCTGGCTATTGCTATTGGAAATTTCCCTGACTTTTGTGATGACAGAAAGGGATGTCGAATTTTCTATAGCAGCTGTTACGTTCGATATGAGCTCTATCCATTTTTCTTCCCCATTGATTCCAGAAATTCCCTGGTTAATACTTCAGTGGTTGTAGCTAATCCCTAGTTTGTGTGGGGAAGATCAGAATCACTCAACATAGGAATTGTCCTGTTTCAACAATTAACTTCCTTTACTCACATAAGAATAAGGTCACTAGTACATCTTGCCTCTCTTGTATGCTGTTCTTATGCTTATGCCATTACATATTTCCTTATTTTATTTTCTCGTTCATGAGACAGAATGTATGATATTTAATTCTTGATTCTTGAAACCCATTTCTTGAATTCTGGCTAGTTGTTTGCTTTGCCGCGGCTCCTTGGAAAAGGGATCACATCTCTAACATCAGGGAGGCCAGTAGTGAACAGAACCATAAGATCAAACCCTAAACTGAATCCAGAATGCTCGACTGTTCCATGCCTGCGAAGATCCAAGTACCATTCGTACTGCTCTCTTGGCAAGCGTAATTCTTCAATCCTGCATAAAAAGTTTAAACATAGAATAGAAACATTGCCCTTGTTTTGGTCTGTAACATGCAACTGTGTTTTGATCATTTGTCAAACTGAATGTACATCGAGATGAGCTAGCCTAAAGTTAAATCAAGTATCAGATGAAAGTAGTGCCAAGTTTCTTACGTTTTGTTTAGCATATCAATCCGTTCCTCACTTTGGCTACCTGTGATGATTGTTCCAGCCTGCAAAATATACATCATCCAGTTTATAAGCAGTCCAAAGTAGGATTAGGAAAGCTTCAATTATAAAGAATGCTTCTCTTTGAAGAAATTTTGAGCTTGCCTGGGGTACAACCATATCAAATGCAGCAGCTGTTTTCCCATCATCATTCAGTCGTACATAAAAGGGCTTAAGCTCTTTTGGATAATTGTATATGATTACAGGCTTCCTATAGACTTCTTCAGCCAAATAACTGTCATCCATTAACATATATAATAAGTACCAGCATTAGGAAAGAATGCCTCACTTCCCATCTTTCCTGATATTTGGTCATGGATATATGCATATGAAACATCACATTAGGCATACCTTAGATGCTCTGGAGTTAGAGCAATGCCCCATTCTTGGTTTATTTCGAATTTAACTGCAACCTGCTCGCCATTTGTCAGAAGGGATATTTATGAGATAAAATTGTTTTGAGGTTAATATGTTTGCAAAAAATAGATGGGAAATGCAATTTACCTTCTTCAAAGCTTCCATGTAGGAAATCTTTTCAATTGAAGATGATATCATTGATTGAAGACGATAGCTGATAGATCTGTCGATACGTTTAGAAACAAAATTCATGTCTTCTGAACAATTTTTCAAAATCCATTCGCAGAGGAACTTGAAATATTCATCTGCACAGTTCATTGCATCCTGGAAGCCAGCAGAAGTTTATAAAATTAGTTCTGCTTCTGTTCAATCATAATAGACTATAGAAATGATGCTTTCAAATGATTTTCTAAGAACTAGTGTGTCATGAACCTGACAACAGGAGGAAAGATGATTGCCATACCTCTAATTGTGAAAAAGCCATTTGAACCTCAACCATCCACATTTCTGATACACGCTTTGCAGATTCCTTTCTATCCGCTCGAAATCTAGGTCCGAATGAGAAAACATTTCCCAATGCACAAGCATAGCTCTCCAGATGGAGAAGACCAGAAACAGTAAGGTAAGTTTGTTGAGAGAAGAAATCTCCATAAAAGGAATATTTATCAGCCTTCATTGAAGGCCCTGATTTCAGTTTTTCTTTTGCTTCTAATTGTGATGCTAATTGGTTTGTTTTACGCAAATCTTGAATTGCAGAAGCCAGTGCCTCTCTATTGCTTTCACTTCTCTTTAGTTCTTCAACTAGATTACTTTTCTGTATTACAGCAGCCTTGACAACTTCAAGGCTAACACCTCCTGTATCATTCTGTTTGCCATCTTTTCCCAAAACAGTTGTGACCTGAAACTTTTTGCTAAATCCTTCGCCATCTGTTGTTGTGATAATGGGCACCTGCACATAGAGAAACCCCTTGTCGTGGAAGAATGTCTGAGTCGCAAAAGTTAGGGCACTGCTGATTCTCGTAACTGATGCCACCTGCACAATATGAAAACATTTCAACTAATCATTTGAAACGGCTCAACTTTAGGCTATGTCACATTCTTGGTTGGGGCCTTGAATGTATATGATCCAATTGCCATCATTCTAAGCAAATATAAGCATCACCATATGTTTCACCGCCTCTTGCAAGCACTTTTGTAATGGTCAATTCACATATCATTTACAGGTTCTACTTCAAGTAGTTAAAAACATTCCAGGAAGTAAGATTAATTTCCAAATGAATACATGCTACATATGTAAGTAAAATGTTATAACCAAACATGACATGGCTTCAACACGTGCAAAATAGAAAAGTAGTGATGGATGAAAAGCTTACCGTTGTTGTTCGAGGCCGGAAATGAGAACAGTCTCTCAACGCCTCCAATGGCAATCGTTTCTTTGATAAAGGATACCTGTCTTGTTCCACTTTCCCTATATGAAGTATTTGCTCTACTTCAAGCTCAATGCTATGTTTTGCCTGGATTGATGGCTCCTTTAGTACACCTTCAACTACTATACAAGTTCCGATAGGCAGCACCTGGCTGGGGGGAGCTATAGAGGAGTCCACCACAACCTGAAAAGTTTTGAACAACAGTCAAAAGGTGACATAGAAAAGTACCCCTGATGACATCATGATTCATAGGGCAATGAGACAGTAGCTTAAGGCATTTATAGTGAAGGGAAATGAAACCCTCTAATGCTTCGGATTCTGAATCTAGAGGAAAAAGTGAAATTAGCATATATACCTGAAGACTTGCAACAGAAGATCCATCACTAACAAGCAAGTAAGCAACAGAAGGTCGAGGCGGCTCAGGAATTGCTGGTTCCGGCTTCTCACGAACAGGATGACTGCTACCACCCCCTCCAAAAATCTTTGCTATTGATCTAAATATAGGTATTCTAGACTGAAAAATCTCCACACATCTCACATCTCTGTGCCGTGGAGACACATTCGGCGCTTCAGTAGTCTGCTGTTGTGGCTCCGGCACAGCTGGCTCTTTATTCACCTCCTTGGAAGACTTCACCCAGCCACCAACCACAACTCTCTCATCCACAAATTCCTTCCATCTGTCACTTGGCTCTAAAATGCTTTTCAACACCACCCGGTTAGAGTATTTGGATGGTGGATTGGATGAGGTGGTGGTTACAGGTTCTTGGGAGGGCGTATTGGGTTCTTGAGAGGCCGATTTGGACCCCTGGGAGATCATTTTTGGTTCTTGAGAGGTTACTGTGGGTTCTTGGGAGGCCAATTCGGACTCTTGAGAGATCATTTTTGGTTCTTGAGAGGTTACTGTGGGTTCCTGGGAGTCCAATTCGGATTCTTGAGAGATCATTTTGGGCTCTTGGGAGGCCAATTCGGACTCCTGAGAGATCATTTTGGGTTCTTGAGAGGTTGTTTTGGGTTCTTGCGAGGTCATTTTGGGTTCTTGAGATGCCACGTTGAGATTCAGAGAGAAAAGAAAGAGAGTAAAGTGATTGAGACAAGAAACAGATAGAGAAGTCAAGAAGATGTTGAAGCTGAATTGAAAAGGGAGTGGATGATGAAGGGGGTGGCATGGTGGTGGTCATAAGAAGAAATAATCAAAGACGGATGCTTTTCTTGAGAAGTTAAGGGAGAGGTAGGGAGAGGAGGAAAGGGATTGTGTAAGAGATTTGAGAGTGGTGTAGGCGGCAAGGTTTGGTATTCTTCAACGATGGGTTGGGTATTCTATTCGCGGGATTTCCACTTCCATCCGTTTTTCAAATCTTCATGGCCTTGCTGTTTTAATGGGCTTCCCTTGCTTTGGTGTTTCTGTTTTTTGGCTTGTGGGGATTTTAGTTATTGAATGATTTATGTTTTTGGTTGCAAATCTGGTAGGATTTTGTAGCTGCCCTTTGGGGGTTTCTTGCTAAATTTACACTTGTGTAGACAATAGCATGTTTCTCTGAGTGGTTTTTTTTTTTTTTTTTTTTATTTGATCTCCATTATAAAACTTGAATTGATTTAATAACTTTATCCAACATTTAGTTGGTTAAAAATTTAAATTAAATTTAAAAAATTAATTAAATTTAACCAAGTTAAAAATATAAATTGACCTGTGACAAGATTAATTGGTATAAAATTCAGTTTTTAATCCATTTATTTTAAAATAAAAATAAAAAAAATGTTATTTTTATCATTTTAAAAAAATTAATTAATAATTAAGTAAACTTAGAGTAAAATTCTAATTATAACATTTGTGTTTTTTGTTTTCTCTGACATATACTAAGTAACAATTAAGTAAATTTAAAGCAATCAAAGTAATTTTTTTTTAGTGAAACTTATGTAAAATGTATAAGAATAAAAATATGGAATAAGAAAATAATTAGATAAAT